GTCTGTGGACCATGCCCCGAGTAGGTCCGCTCAAGGGGAGCAGGATTGGGTCTGTTCAGGTCAGGACCAGTAGTAGATTCCTAGGGTTCCTTTGGGGAAGGGGTGACTCTGAAAGCCTTTTGTCCAAGGCCAACCTGGGCATTCACTGGAGAAAGGCTTAGACTTTAAGGGTGAAGTAGCCTACTCTCTCAACCTTTTGTTGTGGGTCAGAAGGTATTGTGGCCATCTGAGTCTCAATGACAGCAGCCTTTGTCGCAGTTTTTCCTGAAAAACAACAACAACAACAACAAAGCAGCATCTTTTGGGGCTGCAGAGATAGTGTTTCAGAGCCTAGTTTGCAACCAGCGATGGTGGCACACACCTTTAATCCCAGTACTTGCGAGACAGAGGCAGGTAGATCTCTGGCCTACAGAGTGAGTTCCAGGACATTCAGAGCTACGCAGAGAAAGGTGGGGGACAGAGAGCCCAGATTGTTTCTCCAGACGACCTGGGCTCTCTTCCCAACATGCATAGGGCAGCTCACATGGGCAACAGGCATGTCCTTGGTGCATACAGGACAGACTTTCAGGCAAACACACATAAGCAAAATAATAGTAGTATTTATATTAAAAAAGGATGAATTCTGAGACTGGTCATGAGAAGGGAGGCAATGAATTTTAGTTCCCAGACTCCCACTCTATGTTTTATGTTCTTAAGTTATTTTGTTGTTTCTCAATTGATTAAAGGGATAGTAGAAAATTAACTTCAAGGTTAAGGATTTGTAAATTTTACAGTTAATTCAGGAGCTGATTAATTCAAACGACAACAACAACAACAAAAAATTTGCCAGGGCTTGAGGCTGATGCCTTTCTAGGCCAGCCAGGGCTACATAGTGAGACTCATCTCAAACAATGGAGTCTCTGGCCCATGGAAGGTCTCACTCTCCCTGGGGAGTGGATGAGGAGTGGAATGGGGCAGGGTCCATGGGTGGGCATGAGAGGATGGGAGGGAGAGGGAACTGGAATTGATATGTAAAATAAGATTACTTCTAATTTAAATAAAAATCTATATAAAAAATCAACAACAAAAAAAACCTTACCATGAAACCCAGTATTTTGAAAAAACCACATCTGTGTGATTTTAAAGCAACACTGCCTAATAAAATGAGAAGTTCCATTCATAATTTTATTTATATTTATTTTTTAGAGATAGGTTTTGCTATATAGCTCTGACTTGATCAGCAGCTTTGACCTCAAGTGATACACCCTCCTCAACAGTGGCAGGGACAACAGATGCGCACAGCAGGTGTACATTATAATTAAAATAGTTTTGGTAGCCCCTGTATTAGTAACATTTCATGTTGCTGAGACAAAATACTGGAGACAACCAGCTTAAGGGAGAAAGGGTTTATTTGGGCTCATGGTTCTGGGGTAGAGTCAGCCACTATGGGAAGGCATAATGCTAGGCCTAGGAAGCTGCTAATCATTTGTCCTCACCAGGAAGCCAGGAATGATAGATGCTGGTACTCAGCTGGCCTTTTCCTTTTTATTTAGTCCTGGACCCCAGGCCATGGAACTGATGCTGCCCACTGTTAAGGTTAGTCTACCCATTTCAACTATCCCAGTCTAGAAACTTCCTCACAGATATGCCTAGAGGTTTCTCTCTAAGATGGTTCCAGATGCTATAAGGTTGACAACATTGACCATCACAATTAAAATTAACCGTATTAATAAAATTTCCAGATTTAGTAAACTAAAAATGTACCTGGTTAAACTCAAATTTTAGATAAAGAGGAAACAATTCTAGTTATAATCAAGTCCCCTGAAGGGATATAGGAAATTGTGTTGTAAGTGGGTATCCTTGGTTCTATCTGGCAATGCCTCGAATTAAAAGATTTTAGAGCTGGGGTGTGACTCAGTGGGAGAGTGCTTGCCTGGCACATGCCAGGCCCTGAGTTTGATTCCACCACTGTACGAGAAATTTTTCTTTAAAAAATATGGAATTAATTGTAATAATATTTAACCTGATGTATCAGGAACATTATTATTATTTCATCATAAAATTGACATGGAAACTATAAATGTATTTGATTCTTATTAATCCCTCCAGGCAGGGGTGGCGCATGCCTTTAATCCCAGCACTTGAGAGGCAGAGGCAAGTTGATCTCAGTGAGTTGGAGGCCAGCCTGGTATACAGAGTGAGTACCAGGACAGCCAGGACCATTACACAGAGAAACCCTGTCTTGAAAAAACAAAACAAAACAAAAAATCATTAATAACATTTCTCATACTAAGTCTGAGGAGTCCAGTGTGTTCTTAAGGCATATTTCAATGGAGTCTGGTGAGGCACACCTTTACTTAATAGCTACATCTAGTTAGTGGTTACCTCACTGGGTTGTATTATTTTAAGGCCTTTAAGAATTTTGGCTGCTATTAATAATTTAAACATTACAAGATATCCTATTTTGTGAAAATGCCTTTTAAAGTTTTTTGTGTTTTCTCCTGTTTTTATTTTTTATTTTATTTATCTGTTTTTGTGGTTTCAGGGATTGAACCTAGGGCCTATGCATACTAGTCTGTTTTAAAACAATACAATCATCATAGTATTTAATACAGGCTATGTCCTAAACTGAAAAAAAAAATACAGAAGGGAATCTAGCATTGTTGCAAGTTCTTAGACAAGGAAATATAAATGTCTTAGTCAGGGTTTCTATTGCTGTGAAGAGACACCATGACCACGGCAACTCTTATAAAAGGAAAACACTTAATTGGGGCTGGCTTATAGTTTCAGAGGTTTAGTCCATTATCATCATGGCAGCATGCAGCCAGACATGGTGCTGCTGCAGAAGGAGCTTCAAGTTCTACAACTTCATCTGCAGGCAACAGAAAGGAGTCTACATGTCATACTGAGCATAGTGTAAGAATATGAGAATATGTGTCAAAGCCCACCTCCACAGCGACACAGTTCCTCTAACAAGGCTATACCTACTCCAACAAGGCCACACCTCCTACTCCAAGTGCCACTCCCTATGGGCCAAATATCCAAACACAGGAGTCTATGGGGGCCATACCTATTCAAACCACCACAGTAAACATTTCCATAACACATCAATTTGTAAAATAAAACTACACTGAGTCGGGTGTTGTAGCACATGTATAATCCTAGCATTTGGAACAGAGGCAAGCGGATCATACATATGAGGCCTGCTGTGGAATAATCCCGTGAATATGTATTACTCTCACTGGTTAACAAAGAAGCTATAAGACCTATAGCAAGGCAAGATAAAGTTAGATAGGACAATCAAACTGAGGATACTGGGATGAAGAGGGTTCTAGTCAGGGAGATGCCAGCCAGCCTCCAAGGAAGCAGGACATTTAGAAAATGAGGTAACCGCCATGAGCCACGTGGCAAAGCATAGATAAGAAATATGGGTAGTTTAAGTGTAAGAGTTAGCTAGTAAGAAGCCTGAGCTATTGGCTGAGCATTTATAATTTATATTAAGCCTCCAAGTCAATTATTTGGAAGTGGCTGCTGAGTATTTGGGAACAGGTGGTTGGGACAGGAAAACTCCACCTACAGAGGGCATCCTGGGCTACACAGTGAGCTCCAGGCCTGTCTGGGACTCAAAATGAGACTCTTCAGAAACAACGGTAAAGATGTTATCACAAGCCTTGGTCATTCTTTATATCTGACTGCTTGGTCTCCCTCCTTCCTGAATCTCCATAAGCTATGCTTTTAAAAGAGAATTTGCTTCTTGTTAACATTGTTAAGTGGAGGTCCTTATTTGAAATCACCAAGAAAAAAGCAGAACTCCTTGATAATAAACTAGTTTCTTATATTCTAAAATATTATTAAACATTTCAAAATAATTGGAAACCTCTGTGAAAAGAATGTTGACTCCTGTCCAGAGAAAACAAGGTTAAAAATAAGTCCTATTTTACCATAGAGAAATACTAATTTGTATTATAATAGAAAACACTGGGTTTTGCAAGATGGCCCAGTGAGTAGAGTGCGTGTTTTGAAGCCCAATGACCTTAGTTTGATTCTTGGTGTATTAGGGTTCTCTAGAATCATAGAACTTATGGAATGAATCTCTCTCTCTCTCTCTCTCTCTCTCTCTCTCTCTCTCTCTCTCCATGTATGTGTGTATGTATGTATGTATGCATGTATGTATGTATGCATGTATGTAATGTATTGGAATGACTTACAGGCTGCAGTCCAACAATGGCTAGCTGTGAATGGAAAGTCTAAGAATCTAGTGGATGTTCAGTCCCACGAGGGTGGGTGTCTTGGCTGGCCTTTTGTATGTGCTGGAGTCCCAAAGAAGTAGGCTCTAATGCCAGTGAAGGAATGAATGTTCTGGCAAAGTAAGGGCTTTATATAGGCTTCCAGCAGAAGTTGTGGCCCAGATCAAAGGTGTGTCACCCCACCTCAAGATCCAGATCAAAAGCATGTTGTTTTCCTTCCTCAAGATCAAGATCACAAGTGTGCCCTCCATTTCTGGGTTGTAGTTCATTCCAGATATAGTTAAGTTGACAACCAAGAATCGTCTTCACACCTGGAATCCACATGATAGAAGGAAAGAATTGACTCTGACAAATTTTTCTCTGCTCTCCATATGTGTGCGGTGTCAGTGTCATGTACACACACATACTCACACATGCACAAATGTAATTTAAAAAATTAAAATTCAGGTGAAAAGTGACTAACAAAGAT